CCCCATGGGCTTTTTCATCGAATGCCCCTCAGGCTTATACGTCTAATGCCCCTCGGGCTTCTACATCGAAAGCTCCTCGGGCTTCTATCGATGCCAACAGTAGGAGTAAACCCCACGAGTTTCGCTTTATAGTTATGGGAATAACCGTTCGACGGCCGACACAGCTCTCATCGAAGGCTACATGGTTCACATGTATACATTGATCATACCACACGCAAGTCAACAATTTACTGCATAGTATTTAAAATAAAATCCACATGGTTGGAAGCAACAGACTTCACGAAAATACGAGTAGGTTGAGAGCTCGGCTCGTCAAACACCTACAATAATTAAGAGGGCCATATCAATAACTATCCGACCCATGCACCAACTAACTCATGGCATTTATGATTCATATCAAACACTTAGATCAATTCAGCCCATATAAGTCATAGAAGCACACATTAAAAAGATAACTTTTATTTTCGAAATCACCACATAAATTTTCAAAACTTAACCCGCGCAGCGATTTTGAAATCGACACTACTTGTAGCACATAATTCATATAACCTGATTCCAGTTGCATTAGTACCTTAAGGCATGCCTCTAAAATTCATATGAAGACATGGAAAACACATAAAGTAATCTACCAGGAGATTAATCATCAAACATATAAAACCATTTTGCAGACCACCATTTAAATTTAACGGCTGACAGGACCTCAGCATTTGCAAGATAAATGAAGCTTCTGACCTCCAAATGACTTGATTAAAAAATTAACAAATAGTTAACTCGATTATCTATAACTTTGCTGAAGATCACATTGGCAAATAACAACATTATCAACCAGTTTAAACACAAAACATGCGAGTCCTAAAATCTGCCAGAAACCGAAAAAAAGATACAAACAACATTTCAAAAAATTGACTCTAACTCATGCTACAGAGTTCGTATCAGCATGCACCATACCTCAAAAGAAAGATAAGAAATAGACCGATAACTTTCATGAAGATAACATTTTCATTTGAGTACATTTAGACATGATAAAAAGGTCAAACATAAAATAAACACAAGTTGCCGGGTTTTAATAAAAACTGTTTGCGCGATAATTTTGCAAAAATCATAACTTATTCGTTTCAAATCGGATCACATTATTCCATAGCCCAGAGAAAGCCAACAAAAGAAACTTTATTTCATTAGAAGGGCACAACATCAAATTACAGGTTTCTGAGGGCTAAAAATGAGGCACAACATAGCAGTTTTTTCGAGATAAATCATGTTATAAACAAAACAAACGAACAGTAAAACGACAACTCGAAAAATGATATTGAGACTCCGAAACAAACCGAAAATCATAGAAACATTAAAATACTCGTTTTTATGAAAACGATAGCTCCAATCATCCACATAAAGTCACGATAGCACGAACAAATAAATAAACGAATATATAGATAAACCGAAGTGAATCCGACTTCAAACAAGGATTCGATATAACGCACGATATATATCCAACTTCACGATATCCGAGCATGAACGAAATGACATGAGGGTTCAAAAATGTTACCTGTCTCTAGAAAGAAATCGGAAAGACGGGTCGTACAAGCTTGCGGAGTGTAGCGACCGAAACTCGTCAGAAATTGCAGGTTTGTGGGGCGATGGTGGCTGATCTCGATCGAGCACAGGGCCTGCCGAAATCACGTGACGAGAGGGAGGCTCGCCGGGCAACATGAAAACCGTAGGGACTACTTGAGAGTCGCTGGTGAAGACGGTGGTGCGCATTTGAGATGGCGATGGTGATGACCGGACTGTTGTTGGTCTCGTGATGGTGTCGCTCACGAGGGAGCAAGGGTCTCGCGACGATGAGAGGGACGGTGGCCTGAACGTGGCTTGACAGAGCGATCACGCCAGAAGTCGTACGCGAGCAACAAGGGTGGTCGAGGTCTGTTGGTGGTCTCATGCTCCGGGATGGAAAACGATTGTGGCCTGGCCTCCTTGCGACGACAATGAGCAGTAGCGATCAGAGGGGTAGCGCTACGGTGGTTCACGGCGGCCATCGGTTGCGAGAAAAGAGAGAACGATGATGATGGGGTTTTATGAGAGAGAGGTTTAGATGGCAGATTCTTCTTTCTCTGCTGTGGGTTGAGCGAGTAGAGAGTTGCGCGAGAATGAAACCGAGAAAGGAGAAGGGCTTCGTACGTTTTCAATAACTTAGGTCAAACATTGCTCTCCAAGACAAAAAGGGCACGGGTCGCGGCATGGGTTCGGGTTCGGGCATGAGCCGGGTTCCAAAAATACGGGCCAGATTTCTCGGTTCAATACTAATCATTATTCGGGGCTCGGGTCGACTGCACGGTTCGATAAAATAAATAACAGAGATAATATATAATATATATATACGCACAAATAATATTTACATATTAATAAGCAAATAATCAATCTAGACATTTAATCACAACAATAATAATAATAAACAATATATATCGAATAATAATAATCATTTAAACAATTAATAACAATTAGACATTTAATACTCACAATAATAATAATGATAATAATAATAATAATAATAATAATAATAATAATAATAATAATAATAATAATAATAATAATAATAATAATAAATAATAATAATAAATAACAATAATAATATTAATAATGCCAATATATTAGTGTCTGAAAATAAATCCAATAATCGAACGGGTTAAATCCAGACTACGCGATTAAATCGAAATCGTCGAACGACAAACGTTTTAAAATAAAACGATTTAGTACTTAAACCCATAATTTAAGTACTTCATTACCAATATAACAAATATAATCTCATAAATAAAATTCGATAAATAGAATAGTTCGAGAAATTCGATAAATTGAACGGGGCCTTACAGTCTATCCTCCTTAAAAGATTTCCGTCCTCGGAAATATTAAGAACACGCATCTCAAGGAAAACGACAGGCTCGAACGGGTATTTTCAATCATGAGGTCCGGGTATCCCCTCCAAAACTCAACCCCGCTCGCATGAGTCTTATCGCCCTAAAATCAAAAGGCGTACACTCACATACATGACCCAATCCGACTCGCCCTATGCTCATATGTTCACCTTTTTGCATGGGAGGGTGATCAATCCTGCCCGAGCTTAGGCGCACATCCTCTTGCAACGGACCCGCCAGCCCGGCATGGCCTATGCTCATGAGTTTCAATATTTGCTTCGTACCTAACAATACACAAGACCTCAACAGGTCGTTTAGTGTATTGCTAGCGTACTCCGACTGCCTAACCATTAAGGTGGACACGTGACGCAAAGCTTTAGCCTCGTGCCCGAGGCACACTAATTACTTGCTCACGATTTCATCACAGACCGTGCGTCCATATCAGAGACATCGACGGTAACACATATAGACGTACAACTCCAAAAATGATCATACTCTCAACAACATCGGCTCTATGAGTCAAACAT